CTTACCAGCAGCCTGCGGTTCAAATTCATATCTGAGCGCGATCACAGGCTGTCACATTTGGACACTGGGGTGCTCCCAAATAATCAAAACCACTAGCGTTAAATGCTGAATATGCCAATGCCACCATACTGAATAAATCCAAGAATAGAAGCATGTGCAGTGTGCTAAAGATTAGGAAATGACATAAAAGAATTTACATTTTGAAACGTTCACTCTGATCTTATCTAATGCTTGACTGTGCTTTCTGACGATTATGTAATTGATGTATCCTATAATGTATATGTTAATGAAATAAAATAGAACAAACAATATAAATGAAATAAATTTTCAAAATTAAGAATGAAATCTTAGAGTCCAGTCAGATTGTCTTGAGATAAGTAACAGGGTTGGAGAACACTGGTATTTTAGAAGGCAGAGGAAAACTTACACATGACAGAGCTTGTCTTGTTCACCATTTTACCCAAGGAGCCTAGTAAGCTTCTTGATACATGGTAAGTGCTCAGCAAATAATTGTTGAGTAAATAAAGAAACGTAGTAGGATTCAGTATGATAGGAACTGAAAATTGTCTCCTGGATTTGGGAATTGGGTCGTTGATAACTTTGCAAAAGCGGTTTCATTGGAGTGGAATTACCCTTTAAAATCACTGTGTAATCTAATACTGGAGTAAACACTCATTTTGTACATTTGAGAACTACTTCTGATGCCTATACTTCTGAACTACTTCTGTTAACCTATAAGTAACTATTTTCTATCCTTATTTTTAAAAAATTCATTTATTCCACTATTTTAAAACATTTACATTAAAAAAAAATACACATGGTCACTCTCTTGGCTTCCAAGGTGGCCTGCACTCTGTCTACAGAGTATCTACCTTTAATTTAACCACCCACCCTCTGTGTACACCTCTCTAAATAAACCTACTTTTACTCAAAAAAAAATATGTGTGCATGTGTGCACACATCATATGTAATATATTCCTATATATACAATGAAAAGTTCCTTTTCCATCCCACCTCACTTCTACATGCACCGAACAGGTAACTCCTATAATTGGTTTCTCATGTGTCTTTCTAGATTTAGATTTTCCTTATATCTACTCAAGCAAGCACAAATATAGATTCTTATTTTTACATCTTTGTTACTGCAAAGGCAGCATTTTGTACCTCTCTTCTGCACCTCACTCTTTTATATTGCTATTTGTTAGAGCTCTTTCCAAATCAATAGAGAGCTTCCTTGTTAACTTTCTACTGTTGCGTACTGTTATACTATGTAGATGTGCCATAATTTATTTGCCCTTGTCCCTTATTGATAGGCATTTATTTTGTTTCCAAACAATGCAGCAATGAATAACCTCAGCATTTATCATTTCTCACTTGTACAGAAATGCCCAGGAATTGCTGAGTCAAATATGTACTCATTTGTAATTCCCATAGAGACTGTCAAATTACTCTCCATAGAGGTTTTCCCAGTGCATGTGTGTCAGTATTTCCGCAGAAGCTCACTAACAAAGTTGATTATTGAACTTTTTGATTTTCGTCAATCTGATGGGTGAAAAATAATATCTGAGTGTGGTTTTTATTTTGCATTTTCCTTGTCATGACATTGAGCATCTTTGCATTTGGTATAAAAGCTGTTTGCATTTTCTTTCTATAATCTCTAAGTTTATATCCTTTACCATTTAGTTATTGAGTTGTTTTTGGTCATAGTTCAGGTTCTGCTGGACTCAGAGCCTAAAGGAAGGACTTGGGTGCAAGTATATTTGGGAAGGGACCCCTGCAAGCAGAAATAAGCCAAAATAAGAGTGTGTTTTCTATGTAGCTGCTGTAAACCAGGAGGTTTTGAGTCTACCAGTTTCTCTAAGAAGCATGCAGAATGCCTCCCCAAACTATCTTTCCAAAGAATGGAGGCTGGGACATTTGTTCTCATGTCCCCGTTAGTTGAGGGCTTCCACAGAAGTGTCACACTCCCTCACACTTCTGGACCACACACAGGACTGAGATGGTGGCCTTCAAGAAATCCCTGAGACAAAAAGCTAAAAGAAACTAAATGTGAGCTTGAGGTAAGATGCTGTCCCTGTGAATCTGAGCTCAACGAAAATGTCTACCATAGCTCCTGCTGAAATCAGAGATGGGCCAAAGGAGTGTGATACGGGGCAGCGAAGTGTCTCCAGCAGTCATCTTTTTTCTTATTTACTTCTGTTGACGGGAGCACATTGTATAATTGTCTATGAGTAGTAAGTATTTCCCCTGGTCTGAGTCATCTTAATTTCATGTCTGTATGACTTAGGTAGGGCTCCTGTAATAAAATAGCACAAACTGAGTAGGTTAAACAACTGAAATTTATTTTCTCTCAGTTCCGGAGGTTGCAAGTCCAAGATGAAGGTGCAGCAGGGTTGATTCTTCCTGAGGCCTCTCTCCTTGGCTTGCAAATAGCCAGTCGCCTTCCTGCCGTATCCTCGCGTGGCCTTTCCTCTGTGCGCATGCATGGTGTTCTTACAAGGACACTGGTCATATTAGAATAAGTCCCCACCCTTATGACCTCATTTAACCTTAATTACTTAAGGACCCTATCTCCAAATACTGTCACATTCTAAGATACTGGGGATTAGGTCTTCAATATATGGCTTGTGGGGTCAGGGGCACAATTTAGTCCATAACAAAGGCACACCATTGTTCATAGTATTCCTCTGTAAGTCTTTTTATTTCTGTAAGTTTGCTAGCAGTGCCCTCTTTTTCACTCTTGATTTTAGTCATTTGCATCTTTTCTTTTTTTCGTGGTCGGTCTAGCTAAAGGTTGATCAACTCTGTTGATCTACTTACTCAAAAAACAAACTTCTGCGTCTGTTCATTTTCACTATTGTTTCTCCATCCCCTACTTCATTCATTTCTACTCGAGTCTTTATTATTTCCTTTTTTCTGCTTATCTCGGGTTTCGTTTGCTCTTCTTTTTCTAGTTTTTTAAGGCAGAGGTTAGGTTACTTATTTGAGATTTTCTTCTTTTTTAATATAGGCATTTACAGCCATAAATTTTCCTCCAGGCACTTCTTTACCAGCATCTCATAAGTTTTCAGTTGTTGTGTTTTCATTTATCTAATTTCCTTTGTGGTTTCTTTGATCCATTGATTATTTAGTAGTGTGTTGTTTCATTTCCACATATTTGTGAATTTCTCACATTTCCTTCTGTTCTTGATTGCTCATTTGATTCCATTGAGGTTAGAGAATGTATTTTGTATGATTTTAATTCTTTTAAATTTATTGAGGTTTGTTTTATCACCTAGCATATTGTCTATCCTGGAGAACGTTTCCCTGTGCACTAGGGAAAAAATCTGTATTCTGCTTTTGTTGAGGGAATGTTCTATTGGTATCAGTTAGGTCTAATTGGTTTAGAGTGTTGCTCCTCTATTTCCTTGTTGATTGTCTCTCTAGTTACTCTATCCGTTATTGAAAGTGGGACACTGAAATCTCAAACTGATATTGAATTACCTGTTTCTCTCTTCATTTCTATCAGGATTTACTTCATGAATTTGGGGTTCTGTTGTTAGGTGCATAAATGTCTATAATTGTTACGCCTTCCCGATGGGTTGACCCTTTATCATGATAAAATGTCCTTTTTCTTCTCTACTAATAATTTCTGTCGTAAAGTCTATTTTTTCTAATATTAGTGTGGTCACTCCAGCTCTATTCTGTCTACTGTTTGCATGGTTATAGTGTGTTTTGCCGTATAGAATGTTTTTATGTTTATGTAGCTGAATATGTAAATTTTTATGGCTTCTGCATTTTGAACAATAATTTGGCCTTTTCTATTTCAAAGTGATAATTGACTTTCTCATGTTTTTTCCTATTATTTCTGTATCTTCAGTTTTTAAGTTTATACCTTTGGTCCATTTGATTTTGTTTGGTACTTGTGTAAGATGTGAATCCAACTTTTTTTTTTCTTATACATCCAGCTGCCTCAGCACAGTTTTATTGACTGGTTCATCTTCATTGCTGCTTTGAGCCACTACCTTTACCTTATACTAAATTCTCATGTGCATTTACATCTACTTTTTACTGTCTTTTTTTGTTCCATTGTTCTATTTGTCAACTAATACACTAAGACCACAGTATTTTATAGACTGAGGTTTTATATTAAGTCATATTGTATCATCATGTTAGCCTCTTCTCATTTCTCTTAATTTTCAGAATGTTTCTTGTTATTCATGTGTGTTTATTTTTTTATATCAACATTACATCAATTTGCCTGCTTAAACATTCTAATAATTCTAATAGTAATTCTAATAATATCTAAACCTGCTGGTATTTTCCTGGGATCACATTAAATTCATAAATTAATTTAGATTGATTGGCATCTTTTTGACGTTGAATATTTCTCCTTTGAAACATGGTGTGTCTTGACATTTGTTCAGGTCTGTTTTCATGATCTTCAGAAATGTGTTTTTTTAAATCTTTAACATGGAATGTTAAGATACATATAAAAATAGAGAGAATAATATAATGGACTGTCACCATGGGCCTATCACCAGCTTTGATAATTATGAACACATAGCCATATTGTTCAATTTTACTGCCTGTCTCTCTCTCTCTCGGCATTTTAAAACAAATCTCATTAAAATATGGCTTTGAGGGAAAATTTGAAGACAGCTTTAATGTGGCACATGATGATGTCCTTGATGCCACACCAGATGACTTTGAGTTAAATGGCTACCATTATTTTAAGGTAATAGTACCAACCTCATTGAGTTCATATAGGGATTAAGTGAGCTGATATATTTAAAGTGCTTAGACTAGCACTCAGCACATGGTACCTGCTAGTGAGTGTTTGTTAAATACATTTAAAAAAAATAAAACTTAAGTACAGAGAAATGGACTTTTCTTAAAATAGCTCAAGGAAAAAACTGAAATTCTACAGTCTACTCTCTCTCACCTCAGTCTTGTTGAATTAACTTCCTTCCTGCATCTATAAATAGTTTCTAATTTGAACAACCTCTTTCATTTTAAAGATTCGCCGATTCTCAATCCAGCTAATTCTGCAATCAATTTAAGTGGAGCTCAGGACCTGACCCGGAATAAGAATGTTGTGAAGCCACTGGCTTTGTCTTTGCAGGTTGTAGGGAAGACTTTTGCTGCAGGTGATGTTTTCCTCACTTATATTTCTTTGGTAAATACATAGTCTATAAAAGCTTGTGTGAAATTTAATTGACAATTTGGTAGAAGAAAACAGACGCTCCTTCTTTACCAGTTGCAGATAAAAGTGGGGCTATCTATACAAGGCTTTGTGTTTTCTGTGTTACATCCAGATGAGAATGAATGACACTTAGTACATAGGGGAGACAAAGCAGGTTGATTCTGTTCGACAAACATTTCTTGGCTACCTGCTATGATGAGGAACTGGTGATAAAAGGATAAAGAAGGCTCAATGCACTTGTAACCTAGTAGAGGAGATAGACCTGTAAGAAGATACTTCTACGTACTGCAGTAAATACACTATCCTAGGTGAGCAGAGAGGAAGGGGTTTTAGCCCAATATTTTCGAAAGTGATCAAGAATGAGTTTATAGAGGAGGTTGGCTTTGAGCTATGAGGAGTTACTCACTGTGCAAAGAAGTATGGGAAAGATATTTCAAATTCAGGGAAAATCAGGAGCAAAGCTTGAAAGGAAAAGGAAAGGAAAGAAGCAGCATGATGTATGCAGGAACTTCCAGCAGTTTGGGCTTGTGAGAATTGTACAATATAAAACTCGGGGAGCAGTAGGAGGTGAGCAAGAGGAGGGCAAGGGGAAGGACGTGGGAGGTCAGGCTAAAAACCACGGATTTTACTTTATAACTTAGGGAACAGAGGAGTGACATGGTCTTATTTTAACTTAAGCTAGATCATTTTGGCAGCAAAAAGGTAAGAGGTGGGAAAACTAGTTGCAGGTCATTTCAATACTCGGGGTGAGAAATGATGAGGTCCTTGACCAGGGTGAAAATAGATTGGAGAGGAGGAGACAGATTGGAGAGCTACTTAGGAAGTAAAATCAGCAGACTTGACTGATTAATGTGAGCATGAAGCAGAAGATTGGGTCATGGTTGACATCTGTCTTTCTGGGCTAATGGTGGTACCACTGCTTGAGACAGGGAATATATCAGGAAGAGCACGTTCCCCAGGCAGATTGTGGGTTCAGTTTTGGACATGGGGAATTTGAAATACCCTTGAGACACCCAGGTAGAGCTACTCAACAGTTATTTAATTTATCATAGGGGGAAAACAGGACTAACAGTATAAAGTTGAGCCACCAACATGTGGTTAAAATCACCAGGGTAAAGAGTCTCAGCCAAGGGGAAATGTAGGGTTAGGCAAGCTGTGAACTAAAGGCAGAATCCCAGAAAATTCCAGTGTTTAAGGAAAAGAAATGATCAGAGAGGTAAAAGAAGAATGAGGAGAAAGAGAAGCTATCATTCTTGGAAACTTCCCAACAGTTAGGCATCATAATTTATCCAAACCACTTTTGTTCTTACTCTGGTCCAATAATTCTTGCAGAATCTGCCTTCTGGTTAAATTATAGACTGGAACAAACTGAATCAAGTTTTTACAGCATAAAAAATCAGTGAAATTATGGATCTTGGCATAAGCATCCTGGTTGTTAAAACCATCAGGTGAAAGGCTGATGAACAAACAGCTTTATAACTTGAAGACTGGGCTAACAACTCTTAAACCCAGTGATTAATCTTAACATCACAAGAAGAGAGAAAACCAGCCATTATGTGCCTCCTGATGGAAGTATACAGCAGGGTTTATAACTCTTGCCAAAAAAAAAAAAAAAGAAATCAAACTTGAGTCTGAGCAAGCCTCTGTATCTACCAATTAGTTTAGGAAATAGAGGAGACATTGAATGATACCACAGATACCCAATTAGCAAAATCCAGAAAATGAGAAATTCTGACAGGTTTTCAGGAAGTTAATTGTAAGAAAGAAAAAGAAGGAGACTCCTCTAGATTACAAGAGGATTAAGGGACATAGCAAATAAATTCAACGTATAGATCTTTTTAATCCAAATTTGAACAGGAAATGTAAAAAAACATTTCTGAGATGATTGGGGGAAATTTGAATACTGGTGGAATATTCGATATTAAGAAATTATTGATCATTGTTAATTTTAAGTATAATGGCAATATCACAGCAATGTTTTTAACAGTCCTTTTCTTTTACAAATATATACGAAAATACTCACGGGTGAAATGATCTGATAAAAGAGTTTACTTCAGAATAATCCATAGTCTGTATATGTGCGTGTGGGTGAGGGGACGAGATAGGGAGAATCGACGAAACATGATTGGCCACATGTTGATAAACGTTGAAGCTGGGTGGTGTGTACGTAGTTCATATGCTATTCTCTCTACTTTTATATATGTTTCAAAACTTCTATGATACAAAGTTTAAAAAGAAAAGTTATCTCTTCTTTCCACTCCTCATCTCCAAGGACTTCACTGAAAATGATCCTAAAAGATCTCTTGGGATCCTAGAAAATTATTTTGGGGTGACATTTCATGTTACTGAAGGGACTACTCTGACGGGCGTAGCTGGCTTTATACAGCTGGGCTGTCCTGTCAGTGGGATTTCTTTGAATCTGAAAGTGTGAGTTTTGTCGAATGGTTGCAGCATCACAGAAAGCAGTGTCCTGCCCACGCTGTTCTGAGCGGCTCCTCTTGTGTCCCACAGATGCTGCTAATGGGAACAGTAGCCATGGAGGAAAGAGCGGTACCTCTGGCTCCACTCCAGCCCGCCCAGGGAATTACTCTTTGTCACCAAGACCGAGCTTTGCCTCAGGAGACCAAGGTACAATACCCATCTTAGAGTTCTGAAATATTGCAACTTAATTATGGAAGAAGGGCTCGGGAGAGTTTGTGATGATGAATTATCTAGCAGCATGCTCCCAGTTTTTCCTTAGCCTCTCAGCAGTGTTTTGAAAGTTTGTGATTGGTGTGAAGAACTCTGATTACTTATCCTGGTGATTCTACAAGGATGGGGCTACCTGGGAAATAATGCTGAAACAAATGTATAAGAAGTGTCTTGAAGTTCCATGGGCTTCTACTGACCAAAGCACAGGGTTCAAAGTTCCTCTCTGTGGTGTGACCCTGGGCAAATCTGAGCTTTCCTTTCACCATCCACAAAATGAGTGTAACAATATACTTGTCCTTCAGCCTCACAGGGTTGTTGATAGAATCAGACGAAATAATCTGGGCAGAACTATACATTGTAAAACAGCCTACAGATGTTAGATGGTATTGTTAGTGTGACTTTTTCTAATTTTATCCTTACCTCTAAAAAAATGACAGACTCTCTGAGTTTAATCAAACCAAAGGTCCTATGTTACTTTGGCTTCTTCCCTTTCTTCCACCACTAAAAGGACAAGGCTCATTTTTCTTTTTGCCTTCAGCTACCATGTTCACTTCTGGACCACCAAAGAAACGACACCGAGGATGGTATCCTGGGTCCCCTGTCCCCCAACCTGGTTTAGTTGTACCTATTCCTACAGTTCGTCCTCTCTCAAGAACTGGTAAGATTTCAACAGAAGATGAGTTTTAAGTTTCCTTAAATTAGCAGACGTATCTCCTACTCTTGTTCTTTCCATGAACCCTTGAAGATAAATCTCCTTAACCAACTATTGTGTCCAATATTATAGCAGCTATTATTTTGTGCCCATCACACCTCACCTTTCCTGCAAGCACAGGTGCCATCACAACAGATCTGATTCACTATCTGGCTTTGTTTTAGCCCATAGTATCAATAAGTCATTCTTTATTTTACGCGAGGTGTGATGCTACCAGCCTACCATCACAGAGCACAAATGAACTTGCTTTGCCAGTCGTGGTCATCGATGTATCCTCCTGTGATCTGGTTCCTTACATGATCTAGACCTATTATTTCTGACCTGGATGGTTCAGACTGTGACTGGAATCCTAAAAAAAAACAGCTGGTTCTCTTTTAGAGTCCTCAAGCTGTGGCCATTTGGCACCTACAGTTAAATGTTCAAGTGCTCATCTATTTTGCTGTATGAAACACAGATAAATGTAAATATACTAATGCTATGACATAGATGGGGGGCTCTTTAAAAGTTTGTTTGTTAAAAAAAATTTTAAAAACCACGTAGGGATGCCATATACACAAAGAATTATGCCAGCGTGTTACTGTGGTCGCCTCTAGGTAGCACTGATTAAGGATGAGTGTATTCTTCTTCTCACTTTTCTATACTTTTCTGTAATGAGTAGATATGCTTTGATTATCTTGGGGTGGAGAGTGATAAAATATAAAACTGAATCCAAAAGACTGTATGCGGAAAACAACCAGAAGGAAAAACTACTAAGATGTTAAATAGCAGTTATCTCCAGACAATCTGATAATGGCTGATTTTTTTCCTTTTTGGTCTTTCTCACTTTTTATTTTATATAATAAACACAAATTAATTTTTTTAAAAAGCCCAAATCATCAGACTTTTAAAATTTGCATATTAAAAGTATTAACATTGGATTGATTTCAGTTGCATTTCATTTCACCTTCCTGTCTAATCCTCCTTGTCAAACAACTTTTTTTTCCCCAGAGTCCCTTTTATCTGCCCCAGTTCCACAGACCCCATTAACTGGAATTTTACAACCTCGACCCATTCCTGCAGGGGAAACTGTAATTGTTCCTGAAAACCTGCTGAGTAACTCAGGAGTTAGACCAGTAATCCTGATAGGTAAGGAAAGGAATTCCAAGTTGCCTGTGTCTGCTGGAATCTAGGAATGCGTCTCCATTTCAGCGTGTATTTATTCGTGAATGTATTCACTGATCCATCAGCTCATTCTTTCAGCTTGTACTGGTCAGCTCCTTCACACTATACTAAACGTGGGGCTAGAAGTTGGGAATAAGGCAAAGTCTTTTTAAGTCTTTTGTCCACAAGGAGCACTGTTTAGTGGGGGAGTCTAGAGGTTCACAGCCAAGAACTCCAAGAGGAGAGGGAGCTTGACTCTGCCTGGACGGGGTCTGGGAAGACTTCTCAGAGGTGGTGTTTCAGCTGGGGAACTGAAGGGTGGGTGAGAGTGGACAAGGTGACGGAGGGCTCACTCCAGTCCGAGGGAGCCAATCTGCAGAGAAAAGGGACAAGCTGAGCCAGCTCAGGGCCGCGGAGCTACAGAGCTACACCGTGGGGAAGCCCCTGTGAACTGGTATCTTTAAGGAGTCAGAGCCTCTCCAAGCTGTCTCTAAGTGGAGGTGTAGAAATTTAGAGCTCTGTAGATTCCAGGACTAATTTAGTGCCTTTCATACCCACACCAAGAGTCCCCTCATTTGGAGCTAGCCTAGACCAGAAGAAGACTGCCGGCTTTACCTTCAGGACCAAACAGACAGACTGTTTAAGCCCACTAGATCTTTATGGTATGTCTGTGTGAGGTGTTATCTGCTTCTTGCAGTTGGCTTGAGCCTGCTGATATGGGTGGTTTTGCTTTGAGCCCTGTTCATTATCAGGCTGCCCTAGCCGCTGCTCCTGGACCTACAGGCACTGGGGGAATCCCAGTTGTTTAAATTCCATATAGTCAGGAAGTTCTTACTGAGCATTTGAGTTGCTTGCACAACGCAGCTAAGCCTTGGAAAGATACGTAAAACATGAGGACCCTTGGGTGGCTGCCTTTTAGAAAGGCTCACAGAGGGACTGTGCCCTTCACCACACCACCAAAACAGGGTGTATTTCCAACATGTTTTTGTCTTATTTACTTCTAAGATGATTTGAGGCTGTTTACTGACATTTAGGAAGAGAACATAACAAAAATACCTAAAGTAGAGGAAAAGAGTTAAGAACCTCCAAGTACCCACAACTAGTGGAATATAGCTGTTGATTGATGAGTTTAGCTTCAGATTTTTTAAAGGAAACCTCAAGAAGTGAAACATATTATTATAGTTTGTCTGTTTGTTTGTCTTCTGACTTCTTATCTGAAGAGAATCTTGATCAGGAATTTTATTCAAAAATATTTGATCATTGTAGTTTTACAAAGGCTACAGAGATGTATTTGCAAACTCTCATCCATCCTCTATGGCAGAGATAAAATATTAACATGTCCCTTATATAAAATAATCTGAGTATTAATGTAATTTGAGTATTTTGTTTCCTGCTCATCTAATTTAGTAAGAGGGTAGAATTTAGAGCACTCGAGTGAATTCCCTAGGTTTGACATATTTGAGTGATTTGTTTGGTAGCCATCTCAGAGGGCAGGGAACTTGGTTAAGCATCGTTGATCCTAGTTGAGCAAGTGTACCTGGTTGGACCTGGAAAAGAAATGTTGAACTTTACTGACCTGCTTCTATTGGGGCAGGCTATGGCACTTTACCCTATTTCTATGGAAATGTTGGTGACATTGTTGTGAGTCCTCTGCTGGTGAACTGCTACAAGATTCCACAGTTGGAAAACAAAGATTTGGAACAATTAGGTTTGACTGGCAGCCAACTCCTGAGTGTGGAAAACATGATCCTTCTGACAATACAGTATCTTGTGCGGCTGGGTAAGCTATTTTCAATAATCATTTGATGGTGATGATTTTTATTCTTTTTTGTAACATGCTTGCTTCGTTTCTCACCCACTTTCTCACATTTATCCACCTGGCTATCTCTTACTTTCCCTCTTTCTCATCTAACATTCTTTCCTTCAACTCCATTCTCTATGGCTTTTCCCTTTCCTCTCCTCCATTTCTTTTCTACTCCTTTCCTTCCCTTTCTTATTTCTTTTTTTCCTTCCCCATTTTCCCCAGATCTAGCCTCCTTTGTGCCTCGCTTTGCTTCTTTGGGTCCTAGAAGAGATAAATTGCTCCACCTAGTGTCCAGTCCCATGATGGTCCTCAGGTCTCCAAAGCAGCTGATGTAGGCAGAACTTGCAAGGGCTGTGCCACGGGTACCCACCCTTGGGGAGTCAGGCCAAGTCCCCTTTCTAAAAGTGCAGGCACTACCTAGAACGCACATGTAGCAATCACCTTACACGGTTATTTTCCGCTTAGCCTTTTTATCTTGTTTATCCACTGTTTCTACACCCATTTATTTCTTCTCCAGCTACACCCTTTGATGTAGTCCCATCCTGCTTTCCTTCACTGAGGTAGTAACTGTGGGCCTCCCTGGTAGGTCCTCTGGGCTTTCGGGTAAGGAGGGTACATAGGTCATGAACCCTTCGCTTCCTCTGTTTGATTTCTCCTCCTGAGCCCACAGTGGGTGTATGCAGGTGCCTTGACAACACTGTAGTGGTTCCGCAGCATTTACATTGCAATGTCCTTTATTTTGCAAACTGCAGTAGGTCGTTAATATGCAGCCTAATTATACACTCCCTTCAGGACTTCAAACCACTGATTTACTTAGGAAAACATTCAAGATGTAAAAATTACACATTAAAAATTGTGTCTGAACTTTTGTGTATTTTTTAAAAATGTTTTAAAATACTTTGGTGTTAAATAATAAAAACATGGGGCTAAACAATGTTAAACACACACACACACACACATGCTTCAGCTGGTTAGATTCAGTTTTTGGCCCATCAGCTAGCAACCGTGGCTATAATTCTTAGTGACCTCAGAGCCCAAAGGCCTGCTTTGACATGGGCTTTTGAAACCTTTGAGGCTTCAGACATCTCATGAGCCACTTTCCTTATAAATCTAGGACTTGCTAATTAGTCTTATGAGTAGGTGGTAAAATTATAAAAATCACCTGGGTCTGCAGCTCATTTGATGTCATAATTTTAATGGATACATACTGACTTTCGACTGTGTTCCAAGATGAAAAACCGGCTTATAGGTGCATCTGGAATCGGTAAAACAAGGCCATGTAAAGTAAGGCTATGACCGCAAGCCAAGCCTATGAGTATAAAATTTTTTAAAATCTCAATAGCAATTTAAATAATCAAAATCCAAGTTAATAAATGAATTAAACAGTCAAAACAAAATGTCTCCCCTTAAATTACTAAAAGCCTTTTCCTTAAAAAATAAAGAAATCTCCATTCGATTAGACAAAACTCCTCTCTGCCCTGCAAGATGAATTCTCTCCAGAGGTTTTCTTGCAGCCAGTTAATCCTATCTCTCAAATGTGCAACAACAATAGCTATTTCTTTCTCTTACTCTAAATGTTGTACATTGGGACCTCTCTTCTCATCAACTAACTCCTCCGGAGTCCTTAAATTTCTTTTCAGCCTTCAGAAGTTTTGAAGAAGGCAGCAAGAATATTTTCACATATGCTATCGGTTATAAATAGACATTTGAAAAAATAAACCCAAACTTTTAAAAGGACAGATCTAATACTTGGGTGGCTCAGTTACCTGGAGGTAAGAGAGAAGAAGAAAAGCAAGATTTTCCCAAAGAAACAGATCTTTCTACTGCAGTCATTTTAAAAAGTAATAATAATAAATCTCTGTTATTTCACAATCTGCAAATCTTTTGAAGTAGATAATGACATCAGCAAATCCAGAGATTCTTGAGGGACTCTGAGTCTGTTGGAACCTTGTCTTTTCCTATTAAGGTAGCTCTGTCTGAAAACCTTCAGAACTGATGCCTGGGCTATGCTGAGTTACTGGAGATCAGCCCTCGAAGGAAAAAATTTTACTATTATCAAGCTTGCAAAAAGTGGGGAAAAGGCTCCTGCAATTTAGCTATAAAGGCTGAGAATGCAGAAATGATAGGAGGTGACTGGAAGCAAGGCAATTGACTCTAGAAACTCTCTTACCTCATCTAAACTTTGATACATTTTCCTCCCTTTCTCAACTCCTGACAGTAATTCAGCCAAAACCCTGTAAAAGTAGGTTTCAAGGCAATTGGGAATGCTACGAACATGTCTGATAATTTTATTTTCCCAGAATACCTTTGTATTTGGAGTTAATTATGCTGCCTAATCGAACATGTTACTCCATCATGGTTTGCAGGGGGTCTCGTGGACACACCTAATAACCAGCCTTTTCAGATTGTCTATGAGAGCATTCGGGAACCGGAGACAGTCAGCGCCACAGGCTCCCGAGCTGTCATTTGCTGTGAATGGAAGAAAGCTTTAAACAGATGACCACCTTCCCTTCTTCTCATACAGTCTGTTCAAATCCAGCCACCTTGCGCTCACTACTATGTGTGTACTTAGTGGCCACTAACCGTGGTGCTAATCTGATAAAGTTAAATGAAGATCGGTAGCTTTGGTATCTCCCAGGTGGTAAGAAGGCATCGTCCTCCCTCTGGTAAGGGATTGAGGAGGATGCAAGGAACATGGACATGATGTAAGTGTTGCCGTGTTCGTGCCCTCCTTCCACGTAGGGAAGAGGAAAAGCTATGAGGGCTTCACTCCCCTGCTTCCCTCTGGCCTCCAACCAATTCTGGGAAAACTGTTTTTTTCCAATTAAAATTGTTTATTTTTAAAATGTGTAACATTTTATTTAATGACTAAACATTTTCTTACTTTCCCAGAGAAGATGGGCAGAGGCCAGGGAGACCACTTAAACCCCTGTTGGAGGAAGGAAAGATTTCTGACTCACCCAAGGTGCCTCCTTCCCATACAGACGTCCAGCCCCTCCCCCTGTATTCTCTTGTCAGGGACTGTTAGCTCTGGGCTCTGAGGCTGTGGCTTGATCCAAGGTCACAGACACTGAGGGGTCTATACCTGTTTCAGGAAACTGAGTTTCCAATCTCAGGTCCACACAGCAAAAGAAATGACTTTGAGTAGCAGGAGTGATCACAGTCTTGCTGGTTTCAGTGTAAACTAAGTGTAGGAATTCATTTGTGTCACTCGGATGCCAAACATTTTGTCCTAAAGACTGGTTGAGTTTCTAAAGAGAACGAAATCCTCCTAAATCAAGGAACCACAGATCACCCATGTAAGCTTAGCTGTAACCCCGGCCAGGGAAGAGGGCCAAATGCCATACTTAACAACCCAGAACTCTGTGGAATAACTACCTAATGAGAGCGTTCTCCATCTGGGGAAGACGTGAAACTGCCTAAATATAAACTGGGAGTGAAAAGTAAACTTAATTTTCCTTGTGGACAGTATTCTCAAAATTAGGCATAGAGGCAGTGCATTAAAATATTTTTCAAAGTACCTGTGAATAAAATGAGAAATTAGTGAAGCCTGAAACTGACTATAGACCAGTAGGTTAGCTTCTTGCTTCATTAGTCATTAACTATTTCCATAACATCAAGTTTAATAAGTCAACAAAAATACCACCTTCAATGACCATCTCCCAAGGTAAACAATGGAATTGGTACTATCTCAGAGCACATCCTCTTTGGAAGATATGGAGACAGATGTTTTTAAATATATATATATAGACACACACAGAAATATTGAGGCAAACAGAGAAGAGAGAAGGTAATTTCACCATGGAAAATGGTTTTTAGTAGAAGCACTATACTTGAGGGCACTACAGGAAAAAGAGCTTATTTACCAGTTGGAATAGACTTATGTGTATGTGTTGGTGTGTGTGTGTTTCTCTCTCTTTTCTAGCTGTGATTTAAAAAAAAATTCTACCTGTAATTCTCTTCAATTTAGGTCCTGATCAGATACCTCTCAGGGAAGAATTTGAGCAAATTATGCTGAAAGCTATGCAGGAATTTACTCTGAGAGAAAGAGCCCTGCAGATGGGTGCCCAGTGTCCACCCGTGTCTCCGGGACAACTCCCCTGGCTGGCTCGATTAATTGCCAGCGTATCTCAAGACTTGGTTCATGTGATTGTGACCCAAAACTCTTTGGCAGAGGGCATTTCAGAGACATTGAGGACTCTTAGTGAAATGAGACACTACCAAAAACTACCAGACTATGTTGTGACAATTTGTGCATCGAAAATCAGAGGAAATGAGTTTTGTGTGGTAGTATTAGGTGAGTAATTTTTAAAATTCATTCATTCGATCATCTGTCCAATTGCAAAATACCAATTGGGTGTTCCAGGCATCCATGTAATTAATCTCTAGTTAAGGGCTCCAACTTGTGTTCTTCCTCCTAATTTTAACTTTTTTTTTTTCACTCCTCAGATCAGATTTTGGTAGCCCTTAGTTTGGAGGGTATCCCTGTCAGCTGGTTGTAGGAGCATTATCTCAAAGCACAGCCTAGTAACAGATACCCTTGTCTCATGTAACTTCTGCCCTTAAAAGGTTTTGGAAACGTTACCACTCTAGCATGTGATAAAGCCATTGCCACAGGTGGCCTAAGCCAGTTAATCATATTTGCCAGGAACTTAGCTCACATATTCACCTCTTCACTGAAGAGGATATTTAATATTCTAACATTGACCCTAAAGAAAAGGTTCAGAACGTTGGTACATTCCAAAATGTATTTTTGTTTCTGGTACTGATTTTTCTATCAGGCACCGTCCTGAGTTGCCATTTGGACTAAATTTTGCTTTTCTCCTCTCTGTGAATGGCACTCACCTCTTCCTAGCAAAAGGGCCAGGCCTTGCTTTGGCAAAACCCACCTGCCCGTCCCCCAGAAAGCTTCATCAGAAAGTATATTCATCTTCTAATTTTCGTTTGTAAGAACAACAACTGAAGATTATATTTTTAAGACTGATATTCATAATAGCCATGCAGACACAATTTTTTAAAGGTTTTTCACATTCCTCCCTGGTCTTTAAACACACACCTGGTATGTTTCCACAGTTACACACAGAAGATATGTCATTTTTCCCCCTTGATCACCTAACTTTATATTGTCAACTTTTCATTTCAAATGACGATTTGAAATGTCATTTCAAATCGAATTGTCATTTCAAATGCTGTGTGATTGCCCGTCTTTTGATGTGCCGTATGTTTCCTAGCCAAGTCTCTCTAGATGCATACTTTAGCTGTGTTTCCTGTTTTTGCTGTCGTCAGTCACGTCCTGGTGAACATTTGTGCGCTGGCACGTCGTCTCTCCCTCTGTTCTGCAGGTCAGCATCAGTCCAGAGCCCTGGCAGAGAGCATGCTCACCACAAGTGAGTTTTTGAAAGAAATTAGTTATGAGCTCATCACAGGAAAGGTCAGTTTCCTGGCATCGCATTTCAAAACCACATCGTTAGGTGAGTGGCTGTCAGATTCCACAACACTGCCAAGCCCCCGGCTGTGTGATTTTCTGAATTTAACTCTCAGCCTGTCAGAGAGATGAGTGTGGAGAGTAAGCTTGCCGATTGACCTTCCCTCATTTGGAATGGTGTCTCCTAAGCATTTTGTTACTGACACAGCAAGGGGGGGTCTAGGCACTAGAATGGGAGGCCTCAGCTCAGCCACTGTGTTGTGTGACCTTGGGGGAGACGCTGCACCCCGCCCCTGGGTCTCAGTTTTACGTCCAGCGGTGACATAATGATCCCATCCTGCCTGCTATGAGTACTATGGAGGCTGAGAGTGGGTGTGTGTTAAAGTATGTAAATTGTAAGCACGATGCAAATGAGGATGGCTCTGGCTGCGGACATCCTGCTGTAGAGATGGCGGAGCAGACACGTCGACATGAGAAGTGGGATGACCAACAGATCTCGATGGGAACCCAGCTCAGCTGCCCAGCTTGGAGACTGATTCAAACCCAGCATCTCTTGTGACCTGCTTCTCTCCACCTTATGTTGTCATAGGTGATGACTTGGACAAGCTGCTAGAAAAAATGCAACAAAGAAGAGGAGACAGTGTGGTGACCCCTTTCAATGGGGACCTTAACGTATATGTGTCACCTCAGGAGGCCGCTGCTATGATCCCCACGCAAACCCTGGGTAATGTCACCGCAGATCAGAAGGAGGAAACCGGTCCGCAGGACAGACATAGAAGCTAAGTCATTCTGAGGGTGTGAGGTCTTGTCTTTAAGTCACAGACTGTGACAGGCCCTTCCTCTTTACATGACAGATTTGGCTCAAGTTAAAAATGCCTTACCCTGTGGCCTGGGTCCAATGCCTGGTTCTTAGTAAATGTCTCCTAGAATTAAAGGCAAAGTCAAAGACTTTATTTGAGGCAGTCTCTCCCACTCTCTCTCTTTTTCTCCTAAAAAGATTCTGGGGTCCCGGGCATAGCTCCACCAGCTGTGCCCCGAGAGCCTGGGTGCTCACCTGGCGCTTCCAAGAACAGCATGAAGGAATCTGGATGGAGTCTGTGTAGGGCTCCTGGCTCTCCACTCCCCGCATTTACCCTCCCACGTGTAAAACACTCATCATCTCAGGGATAGCGAGGCCTTCCTGGCAGACAGAGCAGCAGTACCCACACGGCGTCTGTCCTACAAGATTGCAGGGCGCCAAGGGGGACGGTGGCACCAGGGGTGGGGAGTCCGATCACTAGGTTGGATTCCTTTAGGTTCAGATTCCTTCCCCAATTCCCTGTTTGACAGGGACAACATAAGAAAGGACAGAACAAACAACAGGAGAAGGGACAGATACGAAGCAGACCCGTATCCGAGCCGATGCTGACAGACTCTTGGCTTCCCCTTGGTGGAGGTGCTTCATCTCTGTGTTAGGATTGCCTTAGCAGTACAAGTATATGGCTTGGCGTCAGCTCGTTGAGGAACAAATTCAAAGGCAAAGTTTTTGACTTCTGGACATTACATGGCAATAAAGTGATCGTGCAGATGATCTAAAATGTGTTATGCAAACACAGTTAGAATTTAAAAATCCTCAGGGTGCTGAAAGATTTCCACGTACACATCCTTGATTCCCTGTTTGAGAAACATGGCTTAAAATAGATAAATAGGGATCTTGGTGGTAAAAACGAAACAAAACAAAACGTTGTTTAAAGATATTTTTAGGTTTCCTCCAACTTCAAAACTCACTAAGTTCCAGTCTCCAGAGTTACACCATCCTCTGTGTTAGTCCCCATCCATCTAACCTGTGCAATGAAAGAAAGAACAACCTAAGTCTCAGAAGACAGGTTTTATTTGGATTGGCAGTCTTGGTGGATCAAACATGACTTGGGCTGTTAAAAACGCTGCCGCCCGGGGCTTCTCCAGTGGGTTCCCTCAGCCAGGAGGGAGACCCACCTGTGTAGATCGCCGCTCACCGTCGGGTTCCGTGGTGGCTGGGGTGTCGTGACTACTGTCTTGCCCTGGGCTGCACTGCAGTTTGATTTTAGAAAACACGAATTAGCACAGGCTCATTGGGCCCTTGGGTGCGCCAGTCAGACTTCCACATGTGTTCCTGATAAAAAGCCGCTCTTTAAAAAACAAAAAAAAAGCAGTAAATGTTTCCTGCTCAGGTGTTCAGCTGACTAAGCTTATCTGACCTTGCGTGTGTGTGAGCACCCTGCGTGTGTAAGAGAGATTGATTGCTTGGCTGCAACTTGTAATAAAAAGCCACTGGCATGTTTAGCGCATCTGGGCAATGTTTTTCTAATACGTCACCTACTGAGTGGCCAGCTGGCCCTGTCGTGAGTCACGTCCCTGCAGATAGTACAGGCGTCAGCACCGGAGTTGACCAGAGCCTGCCAGGTCACAAGCACCGGCAAAGTGGAGTCAAGTGGGAAGAAAGGTGAAGTTAGTGTCATGGGGAGGAGAATTTCAAACCATGTTGGAACGGACTTGCTGGAGAGGCAATGTTTACTGTGGTGCCATCCAGAGAAGCTCAAAGGAACTCAGCATTGTTGTGTTTATGGCGTTGCCTCCTTCCCGGAACTGGAGCTGGGCTTGGGCACCTGACCTGTGCTGATAGTCCTAAAGAAACCTAGAAACTCGTTCCTTCCCTTTCCAGAGACGAGTCCTGGCTCCAGCTGCAAGAGTGTGGTCTGTCCCCTGCATTTCTGGGCAGGGGAGGGGTGTGGAGTTAGTGCTTTGTGAGACGATCAATTTTAAAATAATACATCTGTAAAATTACCACATTCACTCTTCAGCACATCCTTTCAGCCAAGTTTTCAGGGAAAGTGGGCAAATCTATTAAAAGTCGGCGGGAGTGAGACTACAAGGGGCAGGTTCTTAGTGATGGAGCCTACTTTACCATGTGTGTATTATGTGTCCTCTGTGGATTCACAGAGGCCATCACAGAAGTGAATTAATCTTGTTCTTATGACTTTCTTTGAATTTTAGATTTAGATAATGAAACCTTCCAAATTTATCAACCGCAGCTTGTGGTTGCCAGGAAACTCTTGTCCCAGGTGTGCGCTATAGCGGACAGCGGCAGCCAGAGCCTGGACCTCGGCCACTTCAGCAAAGTGGACTTCATCATCATTGTCCCAAGATCAGAGGTTCTGGTCCAGCAAACTCTTCAACGGATTCGACAATCAGGTAAGGTTGAACTTACAAAGAGGACCCTCCCTGGATCCAGCCTTAGATTCTCTCTTCCTCTTTCTTTGGCTAAATCCAAACATTTATAGGACACTTCCATCCCTTTTTACAGTAATAAATATCACAGGAGTATTTTAACTGTTTCTTCGAATTTATCTGTAAGTATTCCCTCAAAGTACTCTAACCTTTTCCCTCCTAAGTCAAGGGTGAATTGATGTGCATTTGGCCTGACTCTGGTAAGTCTGTGATGTCGTCAGTGGACTAGAAACTGGTCCCTCATTTATGGAGACAGATTTCCTCAAGGCAAAGAGAGGCCTGCATAGGGATGGCGGGGTCTGGGCCACCTGGACTCCTCCCGGGGGTCAGCATGAGTCACATTCTCACAGGTGAATTCTTACACATCTAACACATTACATAACAGCATATTTTCAACCTAGAAACCAGAACACCATCCCTCATGTCAACAATAAGTAACTTCATTTAAAAAAATACAAAGTTAGAATTCCTCCTAATGACTTCAAGAGGGTAAGCAGAGAGGAAGAAAAATATTTTTCCCAGAAAATGTAAAAAGGTAAGGAGCAAATATCTTAGAAGTCTATGGTAAATAACATCCCTCTCAAACATAAAATTTGCTTAGAATTACAAGAAGCAGTAGGGAATTTAGGAAATTGAGACCGCTGAAAAATGCTTGGCTTTATAAACTAGGTTTGAAAAGGAAATTATAAATGTCAAGTTGCTTCTGAGTCCTTAGCTGGGGGGGAAATACACACACACACACACACACACACACACACAACTAATTTAGTGGAGAATAATTCTTTTGTCTGCTGGTACCGGACCAAGGCGGTATGGTACGGTACAGACAGTCGTTGGGTGGAGGTGTCTTC